CCTTGCCTTCCTGGCCTTCGAGCGCTACATCATCATCTGTAAGCCCTTTGGCAACTTCCGCTTCAGTTCCAAGCACGCGCTGCTGGTGGTCCTGGCCACCTGGGTCATCGGCATCGGGGTCTCCATCCCGCCCTTCTTTGGCTGGAGCCGGTGAGAGAACAGGGCTGGGATCCTGGCGGTGCCAGGAAGGCACGCAGGGTCCTATGGGTGGAGGGGTGGGGGTGTTGGGCCACAACCAGTGGCACTTCGGGTCTTTTCTTGGCTCTGCTCAGGTGAGACCCTGGCAGTGCACGGGGGGGGGGGGTGTCAAAGTGGGTCCGCTGTAAGCAAGGCAAATGCCTTTCCTCCTGTACTATCTCTCCAGTCCTGAGTACGACTTTTCAAACCGAGGTGGCATACCTGAGGGAAAGGACAGGAGACAGACGCTGTGGTTTACTCCCGTTCAGCTTGGGACAACAGAGTGCCCCCTGGCCTGACGTCTGGCCCTTCCCTGGGTGCTAAGTGCACAAGCCCCGGGAATCTCTCCTCTTTCGAGTCTCGTGGGACCCCAAGGTCGTGGTCTATTTGCAGGTTCATCCCTGAGGGTCTGCAGTGCTCCTGCGGCCCTGACTGGTACACGGTGGGCACCAAGTACCGCAGCGAGTACTACACCTGGTTCCTCTTCATCTTCTGCTTCATCGTGCCTCTCTCCCTCATCTGCTTTTCCTACTCTCAGCTGCTGGGGGCCCTCCGAGCTGTGAGTGACTTCCCTGCAGGTCAGGGAGGAGGGCTTGGGAGTGCCAGGTGAGGTGAAGGGGCCTTGGGATATACCCAGTGGTACTCAGGGATCTTTCCTGGTGATGGTTGGGGAGAATGTATGTGGTACCAAGGATTCAAACTACAGTCTTGCAAACAAGAACAAAGAACTAATTTTTAAAAGTCTTTAAGGCGGGGGGGGGGGGCGAGGGGGCTGGAGTGATATCACAGTGGGTAGGGCGTTTGCCTTGCATGTGGCCGACCTGGGTTTGATTCCCAGCATCCCATATGGTCCCCCGGGTACCGCCAAGGGTAATTCCTGAGTGCATGAACCAGGAGCAACCCCTGTGCATTGCCGGGTGTGACCCAAAAAGAAAAAAAAAAATCTTTAAGAGGAAACCAACTAGCCCTTAGTAGGCAAAACTAGGCCCATGATAAGTAAAAAAAAAAAAAAAAAACCAAATGGGGGGGGAAGCAGAGTAAATTTCTGGGGGGATCCAAAGCTAACAGATGATCCATTCTGGGCCCAGGTGACACTGCCCCCTAGGTTTTTAATTGCAATAAACTGACACAGACCTTAGATGCTCACTCTACTGTTAAGGCAATCCCTTAGGAACAGGATTAGTGGGTGAGCACTCAGAGCAGGGCATCTGGAAATGCCCACAGCCCAGGGGTGCTAGCTAGAAGTGGGGGCGGGGGGGGGGCTAGGTTAAGGTGGAGACATCTCCACACAAACGTGTCCAAAGAGCCACGTGATCCCCTCCAATGCCCAAAGCTGGCGGCCACGCCCGCATCCTGCCTTTCAAGAAAGAAGAGTCAGAGGAACTAGGCTGGACGGGACCAATCATTGGACCAACCACCCCCGCCTCCAACCCCCCCCCCCCCCCCCAGCCAGCCGCGAGGGGGGCAGATGTGGAAGCTGAGGGCTACAGCGACACCTTTTTCTGTGCTCTGCCAGGTTGCGGCTCAGCAGCAGGAGTCGGCGTCCACGCAGAAGGCCGAGCGGGAGGTGAGCCGCATGGTGGTGGTGATGGTGGGGTCCTTCTGTCTCTGCTACGTGCCCTATGCTGCCCTGGCCATGTACATGGTCAACAACCGGGACCATGGGCTGGACCTACGACTCGTCACCATTCCTGCCTTCTTTTCCAAGAGCGCTTGCGTCTACAATCCCATTATCTACTGCTTCATGAACAAGCAGGTAAAGCTTTCTCCATCTGCAAGCCCCGAGAACCAAGTCCAAACGCCCGAGTAACTAGTAACTCCCCCATAACTAGTGACTCAGAGCTCCTGGGATAAGTCAGAGGGTTTCTAGGGATGAACAAAAAAACAAAAGCCTTGGACCCCCCCACCCCACCGCTCCACCCCCTGGCCCCCACCAGCAGGCCGAAAAACCCCCATCTAAGCTAGGAACAATGTAGTCCCAAGATCACTGAAGCCAGGCAAGGCAGTAGGAACCAGAAAAAAACCCAAGTTGTTTCAATGTCAGGAAGCGAAGTGAAAGGTTTTCAATTTTGTTGAAAAGATAAACAAAACTGGATAGATGGAGTTGCCCTAAATTCCCAGGCCTTTTCACAAGTTCCTAATCTTTTCCCATTCAATGTCGAGTCTGCAGGAACATATGTAAAACAAAGCGCAACACAGGCCGAATCTAAAACAGCTTCTCATCTGAATGGACCAGCTGGTCCCCTGTCCCAATTCCCCAACCTAGCTAATCAGCGTGAACTCAGACAAATTTGGGAATGTGCTTCCTTGTAAGGCCAGTACCCTGCTGAGGATGGTTTCGTCAATCCCAGAGATGGAATCCAATAGGGAATGTGGGAGCAGAATTGGCAGCCCTCCCCTGGCTGGTAACACCTGCCAGCAAACACCAGGGCCTGTGGGAGGATGGGTCAAAGAAGTTCTGCTCTGGACCGGCTCAGGAGACAGGCTGATACCTGAGCTTTCCCAACAGCAAGATCTGTGAGCTGGAGCTGGTAGGGATTCTCTCATTGTCTGCATCTTTGGGGCCACACCTGGCAGTGCCCAGGAGACCATATGTAGTTGTGGGGCTCAAACCAGGGCCTTACCCACTGTACTCTCTCTCTGGCACTGGCAAGAATTATTGCAGCCCCAGGAGTATAAGGTCATTCCAGGCTGGAAACCAGCTAACTCTCAAGTTGGGGGTCAATCTATTCAAAATGACCCAGATCTTGGCTATCAGGCATTGTGCAAAGCTCATGGGGAAACGTAGTATTTTTACCCCTGCACACGTCCTGTTTCCTACTCCATCTTGGTCTGCCAATAATTCTGCCCTTTCCCTTCAGTTCCGAGCTTGCATTATGGAGATGCTGTGTGGAAGGTCCATGACAGAGGATGCTGATATGCCCAACTCCCAGAAAACCGAAGTTTCGACTCTCTCTTCCAGCCAAGTTGGCCCTAACTAGAGGAGGAATTACCAGCCCATCAGCAGCAACCAAGATTTCACAGTTAAGAAATTTCTACTTTCTCTGTCGTAACAGTGCAGACAAATAGACGGTTAAGGCATTTGCAGAATCCAACTGTCATTTTCCTAGTATTCCCTTTCTACCTACAAAGCTACTGTTCCAGCTGGGTCTACCTTAGACAGGAATCACTGAAACCACTTCAACAATCACCATTTCTCAGTGGCATCAGAGATCCAGCTTCTACATAAAGGTGCCTATAAGGAAGCATGGCTGATTTTCAGTTGTTACAGTTGATTATTTTCCTTTTTAGCAACATTTTTTTTCCCTCACCTACTGGAAATGCACTGATTCTGAATTAAAACTTAAGAAACACTTTAAAAATAACAACAACAAAAAACAATGCTATAGGCCCCCTATGTCTTTATGCTGTATTTGCGAATAACTCCTGCATCTTTGGCAAGGCTAAGCTCCAAAAACACTAGAGCTGGCTGGGATTGTTGCAGGCCACTATTGCCCATTCCTTTTTTTCAGGGAGGGGGGAGGCGCTTTTGGGGGTCACACTCAACGATGCTCAGGGGTTATTCCTGGATCTGTACTCAGGATTACTCCTGGCAGTGCTCAGGGGACCATATGGGATGCCGGGGATTCAACTCAGGTTGGCCACGTGCAAAACAAATACTCTCCCTGCTGTACTATCACTCCGGCCCCTAACCCACCCCCATTTTGATTAAACCTATTACCTGTCTTAAGCATTTACTAGTTTTATAATACCTTTCCTATTGTCAAAATTAACTTTCACATCTTAATACCTTTATACAATGTTGGGGAAAAAACTCGTTTTACACCTATACCTTATGTTCTTCTTACATCTGGAAGTTTTTTTTTTTTTTTAATTGCTCTTGGGTCAAACCGGGATGCTCAGGCTTACTCTTGGCTCTGTGCTCAGAGATCTTTCCTGGTGGGGCTCAGGGACCATTATGTGGTGCTGGGGATCGGCCATGTGCAAGGGAAGTGCCGTACTCACTGTGTTATTGCTCTGGCCCACTGGCTTATCTCTTTTCAAATAAAATTAAAGGTAAAAGCATGATGCTGGGAAATGTACCGCGTTTGGGGTCAGGTAATGAGCCGGGTTTCTAGTTCCATGGCCCACAGGCAGCAAGAAAAGGGCTGCAGTGCCAGAGAGGTGATCATATTCCAGAAACGGAGAAAGGGGTGACCACAATGGCAAAAGGCAGTTGAGCTGGACAGAGGATAGGCCAACATCCACTTATTTTTGGTTTTGAGGCCATAACCAGTGGTGCTCAGAGATCACTCCTGGAACTGCTCAGCAGACCATGTGGTGCCCAGATTCAAACTGACAGCAGCTGTGTGCAGGGCAATCGCTTTCACCCGTGTACTACTCTCTGGCCATAGCACCCATAAGTCTAAGCAAGAGTTCTACTTTTTCTCTTTTTGGGCTACACTTGGCTGTGCTCAGGGATCCCTCCTAGCAGGCGCAGGGGACCTTATAGGTTGTTGGGATCAAACCCGGGTTGGCTGTGAGGCAAGCACCTTGCCCACTGTACTATCTCTTTGGCCCCTCCTATTCTCTATTTTGGGGAAAATTGTGGTAAAATACAGGCAACAAACCTTTTCAGCTTAACCATTTTGTGTGTGTGTGTGTGTGTGTGTGCGCGTGCGTGCCACACCTGATTATGTGCAGAGATTACTTTTGGCAGTGCTTGAGGGACCATTGCAGAGCAGTGCCGGGGATGTGGGAGACGGGGCTGCGAGTAAGGCAAATGCCTTAACTTCCATCTCTCCAGCTCGCTTTCACGGAAGAGAACAGAAGACACACACAGCTCACAATGAATGTAAACAGTTTTATTCAGAAATAGATTTTTTTTAGAAACAGTTTTATTTAGAAACCTGTTTGCATTATAGAATATAAAACTTGGTTTACACTCCATTAAAAAAATAACTAATATCCAAATTCAAGAGAGCAAGCTTTCACAGACACACTGTGTGGGTGTGCGGCTACTGTTCACCAGCGTCAGGCTCGACTGGACCCAAGCACCAAATCCAGGGGGACCACTAGAGATGAGCGTACAATACTTGCTGCTGAGCACCCCACGTCCAGAGCTGCCATCTCACAAGACGGAGGTCTGCTTCCTAAGCGTGAGACTTCATGGCCCGGCTTCTCTGCACCATCTACCAAGTGGCAAAACTCCCTTGCCACACAGCACACAATTGTGCTGGTGGCACTAATTCTCTCTGGCCTTCTGAAGAGCATCGACAACAAGGGGGTTTCTGGAGGGTCGAGTTGCTCCATTACCCTGTCCAGACTGGCGTTAAACCCAAAAGAGTACATCCACTCTCCAGAGCTCAGGAAAAAAGCTGGTGTAAAGTTTTCATGATATTGGCTTTCAACCATGTTGAGTAGCCCACCTCTGCAGGTTGTGGAAGACCAAAGGATAGACCCAGGTTTATATTATAATAACCACCCAGCACCACCTGAATGTATTAACTAGAAATATATATGGAATCAAAGGTTAGATATACATACACTTATCTTAGTTAACCTGAGGGCTAAACACTTAGAATACAATTTTTTTTCTTAGGAAAGAGTCATATGTAAGAAAGGGGACCAAAAATAGGCAGTTTATGCTATGTCAGATATGGGTAATATGGAGTTCGGATCAGCGGGAGTATTCTTCTGTTCACTCTACTGTGTCTCTGCCGTGTCTGGTAAGAACTGAAAATCTGTTGATTCATGATATACTTTTTGGCAGTGGGGAGAGTGCATGATGGCTCAAAGGCAGGAAAGGTGAGCCATGATCCTCAAAACCAAAGAGCCCGCTCATCTCTGAGTCTGAACTCAAGTGCTCCAGTCGACACAAAACCACGCCTGGTAGTGGTTAGCATTCTGAGGTATGAGGATTCCCGGTAAATTCAGCAGCACGTGGTTTTCTGACACCAACCCACAAGGTAAGAACACTGCAATCAAGCTCCTAATTAACACTGCTATTTTACCACTGCCTGAAAGAGAAAAGGAAGAAAAATATACCCCACGACACTGGGAAGGTCTAAACTCTATGGAAGGTGATCTAAATCATCTTTATTTTATCTTCGAGTTTTGTAAGTGTCCTCATTCAGCAATCATTTCTTTTGCTAAAGGCACTTTCAAAGACTTGATTAGAAAGAATATATTTTAACTGCAGTGGAAGCAGGATAAGTTCTCCAAACTCCTGGGAAAACAGGAGCCAAGGCACTTACGATGATTCAATGGGCAAGACAGACTTGAGCATTTCAATAGACTGTACACGCCCAAAAGTGTGTGTGCCCTGAAAACACTTGTATTTTTCCTCAGCTTTCCAGCTGTTTCTATGTATAATAAACTCTGTAAAGAGATTATACTCACAACATGATTGATTTTCAAGTCACTGTCCCTACCTCTTCCCACTGCAGCTGTGCTTGACAAAATTAGCAATAGCTAGTCAGTCCTACATGGAAGGAATAACACAAAAGAGTGAGTGACATCAATTTGAAGCAGGTTTACTTAATAGAATTCTGTCACTGCCCAGATAATTCCACAATCAGTTGCTGGATCCGAAGCAACTGAATAAAATACATGGTCTCAATTCCTTATGAAACACACTTGTCAAGAAGCAAAATTAGTCTTATCTCTCCAAATTTATAAAGTGTGGGGTATATTTTTCCCTTTTCTCTCTCCTAAACAGTTCTTATTGGTCTCAGGCTTAAAAAATTAGTCAAGTCAGAATTACAAAAGCAATACAGGAAGGGGTGAGAGTGAAGGGCTAGTGTTTCCTTAAAAGTGTTAAGTTGAGGATCTTGATCCTTCATATCATGCTCCCAATCAGAGAACAAATACAAAAATAAACACACCATGTAATATATAATACAAAGAGCAAACCTACAAACACAAGTGTACTAATTAGAGTTGTTCTCAGAAGCCCAGTTTCCCTATAGTCCCTCAGAAGAAGGAATGGGACGGGATGGGTTTTCGTTACGCCTTTTCGTGTCTTAAGAAAAGTCTGTAATAACAGTCTCAGTAGCGCAAACAATTTCATGTGAAACCAGAAGCTGTAAAAATAAATTACTTTTGAAGAAACATGGGATCCTCTACTACAGCTCAGAATTCATCATGTCGTACTAAGGCCTCACCAAAATCGGTGGCCTGACTGCCCACAAATAAATCATACTTGTCAACAATCTCCTCCTTGGTAAGCTTGCCATCCTGCAATCAAAGAGAACAGTGAGTTGAGGTAGAATATATTTCTCTTCCCAAATTAGAAACACTTCCCAAATATAGAACAGGGATTAGTTAAGATTTGAGATTCTATTCCCACTAAATTAAATATGAACTCAACCTTTACCTGCTGCCCTACATATACACAAAAGGAAAAATAGCAATTCGTACATTGTTTCTTATGAAGAAAGCTAAATAATAAAGCTCAGTAACAATGCTAGACATGTAGGTTGTTTCATGAGAAAACTCTTCTCCACTTTGAGCAAAAGATGGCACACCTTCTACGTCCTCCATGTGGGATAAGTGTCAAGAAGTGGGAAATGCTTTGAAGTGAATCAAGAAAAAATGACTTGGGGCCGGAGTGATAGCACAGCGGGTAGGGCACCTGCCCTGCACACAACTGACCAGGGTTCAATCCCCGGCATCCCATATGATCCTCTGAACACCGCCAGGAGTGATTCCTTAGTGCAGAGGCAGGAGTAACCCCTGAGCATCACTGGGCGTGACCCCAAAAGCAAAAACAAAGAAAAAAATTGCTTCTGTGGTGCCAGAGCGACAGTACAGGGTAGGGCGTTGGCCTTGCACGTGGCCAATCTGGGTTTGATTCCCAGCATCCCATATCATCCCCCAGCATTGCCAGGAGTGATTCCTGAGTGCAGAGCCAGGAGTAACCCCTGAGCATCGTTGGGTAAGACCCAAAAAGGAAAAAAAAAAAAAGCTTCTGCTCCTGCAAGGGCAGAGTCCTCCCTGCCACAATGCATTAGCCACCAGCTATCAGACACTGTCCCAAATTATTGAGGCCACATTCCCCAGATTCTCTGCCCTTTCTTTTCTCATAGATCTCAGGACAAAGCACCTACCTACTACAGTAACTAAACTAAAAAACAGCTTAATGATAAAAACCCTAACAAAAAACAAAGACTCCCCCCCCCCCCACCACACACACCCTCTAATCTAGGATACATTAGCCTAGCCTAGATAAAGGAATGTTTAGGTTAAAAAAAAAAATCCTATCATTAGACTGATTTTCAGCTTACTCAAAGCATTCAAATCTCTGAAAAGGTGACAAGGCCTGGAGGTAACACTACTCTTAATGAATGAAAATGTCTCAAATAAATTAATCAAGGAGAAGTTTTACAGGTTTCAGAGAATAGCTATTTATAACTTACTACGGAGGAGTTAAAAAAATTTTTTTTGGGGGGGACAGGTGAAGGTGCCTTGGGATATATCAGTGGTACTCAAGGATCACGCCTGGTGATGGTTGGGGAGAATGTATGTGGTGCCAAGGATTCAAACTGCAGTCTTGCAAGAGAAGAACAAAGGACTAATTTTTAAAAGCCTTTAAGAGGGAACCAACTAGCCCTTAGTGGGCAAAATTAGGCCCACGATAAATAAAAAAAATGCAGAGCAAATTTCTGAGGGATCCAAAGCTAACAAATGATCCATTCTGGGCCCAGGTGACACTGTCCCATAGGTTTACAACTGCAATAGACTGACAGACCCCAGGTGCACACTGTTGTTAAGCTAATCCCTTAGGAACAGACTTCAAGCTCTTGGAGGTTGTTTGCGTTTGTCCTGCCTTACCTTATTCTGGTCTGATTCATAGACTAGATGCCGGGCTTCTGCCTCGGCATGATCATAGTCTGAGGGGAGGATCCAGTCTTTGGTTTCTTCCTTGTCCATCTTCCCATCACGATTCTTATCCCGAAACTCAACGAACTGTTCTCTCTCTGTCTTTACCCATTCTGGCTCATCAGCATTTCCATCATGGCTGTACATGTCACCTGTGTGCAGAATAAAAGCACAGAAGAACAGTTTGTTTTCTTCCAAAGACAAATGTGAATGTGACCCTATCCCTTCTCCCTCATCTGTCTGTTCGAAAGCAAACAGCAGGCACAAGGTATTTTGGGTCAGAGAGATCTTAGATAGCAAAACTTTTCCTGAGGCTTAACGTTCAATCTTGCAACAAGAAACTTTCCAGTTGATTGTGTTTAAAATGAGAGCAAAGAGGCTTTATCCCTAAAGAACTGCAAAATAGGTACTAGAAAATGACTCACCAATATATTCCTCTAGATCAATGAAGCCATCAGCATTCTTATCTATATCTTCCATGGTTTCCTAGACAGAAGAGGTTATTAGCTCCTGAGTGAATTAATTAAAGCAGTTGTTTTTTCATTAAAGTACACATACAGGACTGGAGAGATAGTACAGGGGTTAAGGTGCTTGCCTAGTATACAGCCACCCCCAGTTAGACCCCAGAAAGTTCCCCGAGGACTACCAAGACTGATCCCTGGGCTCAGGGTCAGGAGTAAGCCCAAAGACAGCAGGGTTATAGCCCAACACTCCTACCCTCACTCATAATAAAACAAAATGCAGAGGCCTGAGAAGGCACTTGGACACTTGCCTTGCACCAGCCAACCCTGGTCTGATCCCTGGCACACAATGTACGGCCTCAAGCACTGCCAGGGGTCACTCCTGAACACTAAGCCAGAAACAGTTCCTAAACACTGCTGGGTGTAGCTCACCTCGCCATCACCACTCCTACCAAACAAATACACAGCAAACCTGTATGTATACACGTGTATGTGTGGTTCAACTAGAGGAAATTTTTCTAGCTGAAATAGCAAGTGTGGAACATAGACACCGCTTAATGATGAAATCACCCCACCAGCTCTGGATGGTCTTGGACAGTGGTCACTTAAGTCATATGAACAGATGTGACCCCTAAGTACATCAACAGCTACAGTCCACGTTTTATAGGTTATTCTCTTCTGTCAGAATTCTTCAGTGTCAGTTGGTTGGTCATGGGATATTTAAAAAACAAAACAAAACACTGCTTACAATATGAAGCCTGCTACAATGAACGAACAAACTACACGATGTGATGATGTGAAACACTGCTTGTAGCAAGAGGCATTTAAGAGAAATGATTTTGATCACAGTAACAGGAAAACAGCAACAAGGTTGGAAGCAGCAGTTGCAGAGCAAGTTGGGAAGCAAAAAGGAAAGGAAGTCAGCACGGAGCACCGCTGCCCACACCCACCTGCACTACTATATCTTTCATGTAGTCATACTCCTCAGGGTGCAGGAAAGCTGTGAACTCCTCTTTTGTGGCAATGAGGTCTCCATCCTTATCTGCCATTTTAAACCTTCGCTCATCTCTAACCATCATTTGTTTATAGTTAAATCCATCATCAGGATCTGGATCATCTAGAAAACAAAAATTTTGGTCAAATCTTCAAAGACTTTGTAAAAACATGAAAACGTATGGGCTAGGCAACTCCTGAGAAACCAAGCAACGACGAAATAACTGTTGAGTACACAGTCAAAACCTAAAGACATTGTCTCAGATTGAAGTTCTAATAATCAAAGGTCTCAAAATCATGTCCAAGTTGAAGGCAAGTGTTTGCCCTTCAACCTGGAAGTCTGGCTCCCAGAACACGGTAACTCACTACACAATACTACTGTTGGTGGAAGGTTACTCCAAGGGATTGCATTTTCCAGTTATACTTGAGATGGAGCAAAAGTCATAGTTCCTAGGTTTGAGGCCTAACTTTAACAATCCCTAGCTGTGTGACTCTATGAACCTAACATTAATCTCACCTGTAAAATGCAGGCAAAAAAAGCCAGCCTTATAAGAGTACAATGGGGTTTAGGTGTGAAAAGAAATCTAAGTGCTTAATGCAATGCCTGACATAAAGTTAACTTTAGATAAATACAAACTATTGCTATTTTAATTAACATTAGGCTTTCATTAAGAAGTCAGATATCTCGGGCCGGAGTGACAGTACAGTGGGTAGGGCATTTGCCTTCTATGCAGCCAACTCAGGTTTGATCTCTGGCATCCCATATGGTCCCCTAAGAACCGCCAGGAGTCATTTCTGAGTACAGAGTCAGGAGTAACCCCTGGCATTGCTGGGTTTTACCCAAACAAGCAAAGCGAAAAAAAAAAAGAGTCAGGTATCAAAAGGCCTCCCATCTCAGTATACACTCCTTGGAATATAAAAACACCACTATTCTGAAATGTCACACTTAATTTCCTTAGTTTTTTTGGGTTACCTTCAGCGATGCTCAGGGGTTACTCTTGGATCTGCACTCAGGAATTACTGACAGTACTCAGGGGACCTACCTGCTGTAGTATCTCTCTAGTTCCTGAAAAGTCACTACTTTTTTCAGTCAATTCAGAAATCTACCATGAGTTATATGTACTAGTCACCTCTATTTATGTAACATTCTAGAAAATGAAGGTAAAGTGAGTTATAGAAAACAAATTAGTGGCCACCTGTGGAGAATGAGGAACGTAAGAGGACTTATAAAGGAATTTGAAGAAACTTGGGGGTGATGGATATGTTCATCTATCTTGACTGTAGTGATGGATTCACTGGTGTGTATATACATATGAAAACAACAATTCTGCATTTTATATACCTTCAATGTATTTTATGTCAATTAATTTTCCAACTAAAGCTGTTACAAAAAGTAAATTATTAAGCAAACATTATAAGGTGAATATAAACATGAGTCTATCCGTTTGTAGACACTACACTGTAGAAGCAGCGGTTGTTTAGTCTCTAGATTTCTAAGAAAATTTTATTTCTTAAAGCTGAAAAATAGGTCAATTGCAGAAAAGAAAAAATCTTTTCCAATTTGAAATACAAATAACATATGAAGATGGGTTTTAAAAGACTAAGAAGGGGGCTGGAGCGATAGCACAGCGGGTAGGGCGTTTGCCTTGCACGAGGCCGACCCGGGTTCGATTCCCAGCATCCCATATGGTCCCCCAGCACCGCCAGGAATAATTCCTGAGTGCACGAGCCAGGAGTAACCCTGCGCATTGCCAGGTATGACCCTGAAAGCAAAAAAAAAAAAAAAAAAAAAAAAGACGACGACTGAGAGGTAAAAGGTAAAATATATAGGGGCCAGAACAATAATACAGTGGGTAGGGTAGGGCTTTTGCCTTGCATAAGGTCAACCCAGGTTCAATCTCTGGCATCTCATATGGCCCCCCAAGCACCTCCAGAAGTAATTCCTGAGTGCAGAGCCAGGAGTAACTCCTGAGAATTGCTGGATGTGACCCAAAAAGAAAAAAAAAAAAAGAGATAAAATATAGCACTAGTTTCACAAAAAGATTGAAAGAACCCCATTACCAATTAAAATTGCACTCCTGACTTTTGATTCTGAAGTTCAATCTTTCCATGGTAAACATGGTTTGAGAAGGAGAAAAGCTACAGCTTGTGCCAGAGAGACAGTACAGCAGGTAAAGTCGTCTTGGACACAGCTGACCCAGGTTTGGTCTCTGGCACCCCATATGGTTCCCCAATCCCCACCAGGAGTGACTGCTGAGTGCAGAGCCAGAAATAACCCCTGAGCACTGCTGGATGTGCCCCCCAAACAAAAACAAAAACAACAAAAACCAAAAAAAAAAAAAAAAGCTATTGCTCTTTGACGTGATAAACTTGAGGTTTTATGCTATATTCAATGTCAAAATCCAGTAAGAGGGACAGGAGCGATAGAACAGAAGGTAAGGCACTTGCCTTGCACGCGGCTCACCTGGGTTTGACCCCCAGAACCCCATTTGGTTCCCTCTAGCACACAGGAGTAATCCTGAGCAGAGTCAGGAGGAAGCCCGGAGCATGGCCAGGTATGGTCAAAAACAAAGTTCAGTAAGATGACTTCACTGCATTACTGAGAATCTGGGAGCCCCACAATGGCATACTCAAAACCAAAACTGACTGGATTTTTTTTTTTTGGTTGGGGGGGCACACTCAGCAGAAACTGGGATGCTAGGGAGATGGACATATGGCTCAAGAGGTCAAACCCAGAACTTCTGCATGTAAAGCTTGTTAAATCATGTCTCTGACCCTGTGATAGGTGGGAGATGGAGGATCAAGAAAAATTTCCCAGGTGCTTCTCTAACAAAGTTAGAGTACCAACTCTGAAACTTCTGGAAGGAAAGATAACAGAAGGCAACTTATACAAGTAGATCCTTTGTTATTTTTGTGGTTTGGGTGCCATCTTCAGTGAAACTCAGGAATCCCTCCTGGTGGTGCTCAGGGAACCCTATGTGGTGTTGGGGGTCAAACTTGGGTGAGCTGTCTGCAAAGCAAGAGCTTTAACCCCTGCGTGATTACTCTGGCTCCTACATCGAGGTTCTTTTTATTTTGGGCAGGGATGGGGCATTATGTGGTTTGATTATATACCTGACAGTGCTTTGGGGGGACCATACAAAGTGCTGGCAATTGAACCAAGAGTCAGTTACATTTAAGACAAAAGTTTTCTGGTCTCTAAAACTAGATTTTTTGGGGGAAGGGGTCAGGGAGGGGGCGGGGATGAGGAGAAGTTGGGAAGGGGAACCTCTCAAATGATGCTCCAGAGGGTGGGGACCTCACCAGGGATTCTTGGCCAGGTAATGAGTTAACTAGGCCATGGGTTCTGCACATGGGCCTGAGATTGAAATGCTGCTTAAGGTCCATATAGTACCAGGAGACACCAGGGTACTAGGGTGACCTCAGGGCTGCTCAGGGGCCAACAGGGCTGGATTCAGTGATGCTCAGAGGACCACATGGTGCAGAAATTGAACCCAGGTCATACACATGCCAGACAAGGCCCCAGCCCCACAACTAGATTTTCTCTCTTTTTTTTTTTTTTCCTGGGCAACACTTGGTGATGCTCAGGGCTTACTCCTGCCTCTGCACTCAGTAGTCACTCCAGGCGGTGCTCGGAGGATCACATGAACTGCTGGGGATTGAACCCAGGTCAGTCAAGTGCATGGCAAGCGCTCTACCTGCTGTACTCTCTCTCCAGCACCAAGATTCTGAGCTAAAAACTCTCCTCTTCTCCCTTCGGGATGCAAGGTGACTGGATTCCCAGTAGCATGAGAGCAACATGCACAGGCAAAAGGATGAAAGAGATAAAATATTCTTTTAAATAACAAATTTATATGCCTAGTCATTACCCAGAAAGCTGCATCTACCCTGAGGAGCAGCTTATTGACCTGCCTACCTCAAAGACTGCATACAGCTTTGGGCAGGCTTTTGATCTAATTCTGGTAGCACAAGACGGGCAAATCTTAGTTCGTCATATTTTACGGGGCAGGCAGAGACACCGTTAATGATTCTTTGGTGGAAAATAGATGACATTTCAAATAAATGCTAACATGATTTAAACCTGGACTCAGAAGTGAGTCAAGAACACACACTCACAAAAACTCCCTAGTACGTCTATAAGCCATTACCCCTCAGCTCTGTACACCCACATGCCTCCTGGGAAAGACACCTTATAAAGACACTGCTTCCCCAGACAGTGCTTTGGCTTATGCAGTGCAAATACCATCACATTGAATCACTTATCCTGTGACACCCAGAACTCTCAACAGATTTTAATGCACATACCCATGGAGAGTGTAAGATTCATTCTACACTATTCAGGAAGTGAGTGTATACATCTGGGATAAGACTTTTTTTTGTGGCGGTGGTCAGGGAGCTGGTAGGGCCACACACGTGGTGGTGCTCAAGGGGCCTTAGGCGATGTCAGGGACTGAACTCTTGCTGGCAGCATGCAAGACAAGCACTTTGCCTCCTGTACTATCTCTCTGGCCCTGAGCTGAGACAGTAACACATTATAAACGGCTTAGATCACTAACAGTCTATTGTTTGCTTTATATTTATAATTTATTCCAAATAAATCAGGAGGTTATTATGTCTCAGCCAAAAAAGCAAGAAGCACAAATGCCTCTCCATCTGCACTGACTTTTTAATACACGCATTCTTAATTAGGTGAAGGCTATGTTTGATACTTGGCCAAGCATCAAGCAGAGAGAAAGGCTGCCACTTTAATCATAAGAAAGAGCACACGCCTGACACAGAAATAAAAGTCTCTTCACCAAAAATGCATGCAGTCCTGTAATTAACTTGGACAGCTGGCCATCCAGTGGGGGAAACAATTATACACTCACTGCCCGATAGTGGTGAAAGCCAGTTTTTAAGCTAGAAATTTGCCTACTCTCCCAGATAAAAATGCAAAAGGAAACATTTTATATTTTCTTCTCTCAAACTGTAACCATGTACGACAGAGGAAACTAACAAAAATATGAAAAGTTATTAACTCAGAGCCACACCTAGCATGCAATATCAGGCAAAGCTGTTTTGCTATTTCATTTTTGGGCCACCTCCAGCAAAGCTCAGGGTTTTACTCCTGGATCTTCATTCAGGAATCACTCCTGGTGGTGCTCCAGGGATCACATGGGATGCTGGGATCGAACCTGGGTCAGCTGCATGCAAGGCAAGTGCCTTACCAGATGTGCCATTACTCTAATCCCCAAGCAAAGTTTAATAAGGAAGAAATTACTAACAGGTGGCTCAGATGTACAAACCACCAAATCAATAGAAAGCAGTAAGTAATTGCCTTAAAACATTTGCAAAGCAGGCTGGTAAACTCATGTGCCAGAGAAAACAAATGGGAAATTTCCATTTCAAAACTTCAGTAAGCAGACATACTGAAAATTTACCAAGGAAAAGCCATCATATTGGAACTTTAACAATTTTACACCTATGCAAGGAATCTAGTTTGGCACAAATTTCAGATCCAGCCATGGGAAGAGATGTGGCCATGCAAAGAGACCTGTCAAAGTCTCTTGCTCTGCACTGTCAGAACAATGCAGCCTGTTAAGTAAGGTATACTCTCTAAATGGTCCTTGAGGGATGACGGAAAGGAAAAAAAAAAAAAAAGGTAAAATATAGCTAAAATGCTAAAGATGTAAAAAATGCCATACTTCAGCAAGTCAAAAATCAAATAAAAGCTAAAAATACATAATATACAAATTTTAAATAGCGGGCAATCCGTCCCGCATGGAAATACTTTGGGTGGACACAATTTCCTTTCCTTTCTGTGTGACCCATTTGTTTCTTTGACTCAAGACCATGGTCTCTGCCAGGCTGACACCTTGCCCCTTACCCAGGTAAGTGCCATAAGTCACGTTTCTGTACTCATCCCAGGAGATTAATCCGTCTTGATTCATATCAAACTCCTGCCACTGGTTTTCAACATTGTCATATATGTATTTCTTCTGGGCGTGCTTAATCCAGGATTTCAGCTCCCCCTCCGTCACAAACCCATCTTTATCCGCGTCTATTTTATCTACAATCATTCTACAAGACAAAACAGTTACGTTTCAAGGTGCCGGCTCCACAAGGCTTTTTCCCCCAGATAGTAGGGACCTACCTAAAACGTAGCCGTAGGTGGCATTTTTATACTCCTCCCAGGAAACGAGGCCGTCCTCATTGAGGTCATGCCCCTTCCACTGTCGTTCTACATCCTCGTAAATCCAGCGCTTTTGTGCAAATTTAATCCAGTCTTTGAGCTCATCCACAGTGACAAACCCGTCCTTGTCGCCATCTATCTTACTTACAATCTTTCTGTAGAAAATGCAGAGAAATCCAGCAAGAGGTTAAAAGGACAAAAGGCCCTGAGCTTAGCCAGGGTCAAGTGTGTTGTGACCAGAGGTGTTGCCCAGGGCGAAAACACAGAAATAAAAAAAAAGTCTCCAAAACAAAAACGCCACGCAATTGAAAAATGTTCTCTTCAATGGCACACTGCTAAATCTGCAAAGAGTATTTGCGTAAGGCCACATAGTTCCTGGCAGATGCACTTGGAGCCACGGGCAAACCCAGCATATCTACCCAGAGGTAGATTTCAATCTATAATCAAAGTTCAGGAGTGAATATCCATTCATATCTAGGTTCTGCACTCTTTATAAGAAGCTACATTTACATCTTTAGATTTTCCTTTATTATTTTTAACATAATTTCAGTTTCTAGGTAAATAATTGTATCAACTAGTATAACTTTCTAAAGATGCAAATGTTTAAACCAGATTTTAAAAGTTCAGCAGGGACTGGGTAGGATACAATGGGTAGGGCATTGGCCTTGCATGTGGCTGACCCAGGTACAATCCCCGGCACTCCAAAGGGTCACCTGGCCACTTCCAGGTGTGGCCCAAAATCCAAAAATAAATAAAATTGAAAATAAAGATCAAATTCAGCAACTTCTAAGAAAAATCACTTAAAATATACATATATGGAGCCAGAGATATAGTACAGTGGGTAGGGTTCTTGCCTTGCACATGGCCGATCCCCGGCATCCCATATGGTCCCTCCATCACTGCCAGGAGTTATCCCTGAATGCAGAGCCAGGAGTAAGCCCTGAACACTGCCAGGTGTGACCCAAAAGCAAACAAAACCCACAAACAACACAACAACAAAAAAAGATGAAAAAAACAAAAACAAAACATGTGTTGGAGAGATAGTACAGTAAGTACAGCAGGTAGGGCATTTGGCTTATGTCACCAACTGGGGTTGGATTCCCCGCAACCCACAGTTCCCTCAGCACTGCCAGGAGTGATTCCTGAGCACTGCTGGAAATGACCCCCAAACAAACAAAAAACCAAAACAACAAAAACAACAAAACAGGCCAGAGAGAGAACTCTAAGGCTGGAGTATGTGCCACACATGTGAAAGCTCAGGGTCAATTCCCAGGGTTGCCTGGTGGTGCCCCAGGTCAAGCATCCCTGGGCTGAGAATCACTGGGAGTGAATCCCTGGCCCTGTGAGCACTATTTGGGAGAACCCGCATCCCCCAACACCCAAGTAATAAAAAAAAACCACAATTCAGGTATACAAAGACAGATCACATACTGTGCTGAACTGGATTTTTAGATAGAACAACAGAAAAAGAATTCTGAGGAAATGATGTGGTAGGAATGTATTATCTTTAAGCAAATGTTAATAAGCTGAGAGTTAGAATGCAGACAATAAAGCAGAACTACACAGCTAAATATACGTTTGCCCTTCTTTTGCTTCTTTTTTCTACCTAAGTCATTTTAACCTGAGGATTTCAAAACATGTGCATGATATGAGAACTATTAAAGATGCAATCATCAATAGAGAATAACACAACCAATGTAAGTTCACATAAGTAACTGGCCCAATTTGGAATAGGAACTTGGAGTGAAAACTTCCATCAGAATCAATCCCTGGCATGCTTCTATGCTCTGATATTTGCTCAACTGAAAAAGACTGTCACTTGGTAGGAAACACTGCTTTTCCACCAGCTCGAATTCATCTCATATTATAATCAGAGTACTCCTGCCACTATAAAGCGATTTATCTTGCCAGTGATGTGGCATGACTCCAAATTTTCTGTTATTTAAATTCTATAATCAATAACCATTTTCCATCAACAAATGCATAGGCTTGTAGCGTTTGTTCTAAAACGTTAATAGAGAGAGTTATGTGGTAAAGAAGTCATCTCTGATAACATCCATGCACATGAAGGAAAAAACGCAATTGTAACCCAGTAAGTTTAATAATGTCAAAAGATAAAGTTATACTAGTATCTAAAGCTTCTGATTTATTTACAATTTATTTACAATGCTGTGTCCCAAAAGGAGAGGCAACCATTGAGGTAACTCAATAGGTCAAGCACATGCTTTGTATTCAGGAGGCCCAAGTTCCACACCCAGCACTTGGTCTCCCAGCAAAGAGCTGGAAGTAGATTCCCAGTATTGCTTGGATACACCCCCATGACTAAAAAGTAAGCACCAAACCCCAGAAGTTAAGTTACCAATGTCACTGAAACATTAAGAAAAAGGGGCACGGTTTCAGAATCCCTCTCATTCCTCAAAGGAAACTGGAAAAAACCTAAAGGCTCTGCCAAAAAAAAAAAAAACCCATATGATTACTCAAGATGAGCTTTTCTTAATGAAACTGGCCGAATGCCATTCTATTTATTCCAACAGAAACATCACAAGTGGTTTAAGCAAGAAGTTGCCAAACCTTTTCTGTAAAGGCAGAGCGAGTAAATATTTTTGACATTATGGGCCACACACAGATGCATAAATTCTTAAAAAAAAAATTTTTTTTAACAACCAGTAAGTATAAAAGTCATTCTCATCTTGCAAGCCATTCAGCCTGCAGTGTGAAAGTGCACTGAAAATGGCCGTTCCTATTTTAAGCATGAAGCTCTAATCTAAAACACCAACACTTTATGCCAATGATACCATATTCCTATGAGTTGGCGAACCCTACATTTCTTATTACAGTGCCACTAAATAAACATTTCTCCCAGGACGGACATTTAATTGACCATGTTATCATTTTCTTTTTTGGTTTTTTGAGTCACACTGGGCAATGCTCAGGAAGTTACTCCTGGCTCAGCACCCAGGAATTACTCCTGGCAGTGCTGGGGGACCAAACGGATGCAGGGGATTGAACCTGGGTCAGCAGCGTGCAATGCAAACACACTACCCACTATACTATCTCTCCGGCCCCAACCATATGTTCTCTTAAGAGTTAAAATGTGCCTCTATCCTTCAAGAGACACAAAACAGATCTTTTTGTATGTTTGCCTATTTGAGCCACACCTGGCAGTGCTGGGTGGGCTATTAATCCTGCTAACCCTGGCTCTATGCTAGGGAGTCGCTTCTGGTGGTGTTTGGGAGACCATGTTATGCCAGGGTCGAAACCAGGCATTTTGCATGCAAAACATGAGCTTCGTACATTGAGATCACCCTCTATTCCCCAAAACAGAAGTTTTTAAAAGAACCTGGGTCAAAAAAGGACTCAAATATTTCTGGAAATTTCAGTATGCAGTTTTATTTATATGCTTACGTGCATATTTTACTGAGGAAGGGTTCATAGCTCTCACTAGACTCCCCAAAAGGGATGGATTGTGATTCCCCCAAACTAACTTTTTTCCTTGCTTTGTTTTTGGGCCACATCCATCAATGCTCAGGGCTTACTCCTGGCCGGTGCTCAGGAACCACACCTGGCAGTGCTCAGGGGACCATATTAGTTGCTGGGGATCAAATTCGGGTCACCCTTTGTGCAAGATAAGCACATTACCATTATATTGTCTCTCTGGCCCCAAAACAATATTTATAAATGTTACAGTAAAATGGTTAAATTTTTTTATCAAGATTTTCACTTTCAAAAACTCATCACTTTATAAAGTAGTGATGTCACTGTAGCACTGTCCTCCCGTTGTTCATTGATTTGCTCGAGCGGGCATCAGTAACATCTCCACTGTGAGACTTGTTGTTACTGTTTTTGGCATATCAAATGCCACGGAGAGCTTACCAGGCTCTGCCGTACCGGGGGGGGGGGGGGGGGGGGGGGAATACTCTTGGTAGCTTGCTGGGCTCTCAAGAGGGATGGAGGAATCAAACCTGGGTTGGCCACGTGCAAGGCACGCTACCTGCTGTGCTATGGCTCCAGCCCATGATATCACTATCTCCAAATATTTGGGAGAAACAAATTCATTCATATGTTCCATGAAAATCTTGATTGGGGAGGGGGTACCGTTCTGTTTTTGGACTACATGTGGCGAGCTCAGAAATTACTTCTGGAGAGGCTCGGGGAACCATATAAGGGTACTGGGGATTGAGCCCAGGTGGACTACATGCAAGCAAAGTTTACCTTACCAACTGAACTCTCTCTCTAGTCCAAAACTTGATTTTTTTTATGTTTCATATATTTATTAATCATTGTAATCCCCAACATAATACATCAACATGTTTTCATGCATTTAGAGGGGAAGTATTTCCTAGTTTAGTGGAAAATTGATTTTTAACCACCTTATTCCAATCAAATATAAAGCCTGCTAAACTTCTGGTATTTACTGACAATAGATCTGTACATTTTCATCTATTAAAAACTGCTAACAGAGCTATTCTAATATCTGTAAAGAGCAAGAACATCCTGCCTAATACCAAACTTTAGGGTCTTTCACTACAAAGTAATTCTGAAAAGAGATACGTGCAGATGAAAATGTGGGTCAGACATGCAAGTTATTAATAGGCAAGACACGAAGAGGAGAAAGCCCTATAAACATCCCTATTTTCAGAACAGAATGTTAACAGTTATAAGACTGAAATTAAAAGTGAGCATGGTCTCTCAAAGTTAAAACAGCCACCTAAAAGAAGATGAACTCTTTAACATATTCTGTTCTCTATGTTGATTTACAAATGCTATGGAATAGTCACTCATTCTACATAGCAATATTTTCTAATAATTTTTCTCCATTTCAGGAAAGAATCCAATGAACCCAATGAAAAGAATCACATTTATTTTCAAGTATATTCCAAAGCAAACCCAATTATATCTTCACATTATAGCGCTTCCCATGATAGGAAAATATATTTAGAAATAGCAATTTGGTGAAATTTTCTAGACAGATCTTGAAAATTTTCAAAATAATAAAATTGAACCAAGAATGTTCACTGAAGACAAAACTTACACTAAATTAACTTGCATTTCTTTAAAAATGCAAAACTTGGGATGAGTATAAAAAAACAAAACAAAAAAAACAAAGACATTCTCAGACATCAGGTTAAAAATTATCAGTTGGGATCAATTCTTTCAGGTAAAAAGATATGCTGAAGCTAATACTGACCTTGACACTGGCCCAGCTGTTACTGAAATAGCAACTTTGTCTGGAAAGATAGCTTTTTAGCTGGAGCACATGCCTTGTATATGGAGACCCCGTGCTTTTTAGTTTTATTTGTTTTGGGGTCATCTCCAGCATGCTCAGGGGTTACTCCTGGCTCTGCATTCAGGAATCACTCCTGGTGGTGTTCAGGGTACCATATGGGTTGCAAGTGCGACCCCTGCTGTTCTATTGATCCAGGCCCCTGGAGGCCTTATATTTGATTTCTAGCACCAGAGTCCCCAAGCATCATGGGGAAGGCAACCCTTCTGATAAATTAAAAGGACTATATAAAACGGCAACTCATATAGTGATAAATGTAATACCATCACTGCTACAATCTTCTGAAGAGAACAGTTTAATTAAACATCTGAGAATGCAAACAAGGAGGGTGAAAGACATTCTGGGAAATCAAATTTTTTCGACTTTCAATTTTCAGTTTATTATCAAGCAAAGGTTAGACAACAATGAATATATTATAAGTAGCTTTTAAAAGTTAAAACTAGTTAGCATAAGAAGTCCTTCCACCCCCAAGTAACGTAGGGTTCAAAATCATAAAGTTTACGTGAAGTTCCTTAGTATTTGGTACTTTTAAGCAAGTGACTTTGCTTTGTAGAATGAGGTATAAACTGTTAATCAGTGGAGAAACGTATGGAAGCTAGCTAGCGCTTAATTAAATTTTAGTGGCAGCAATTCTGTGGTTAGATTTTTAAGAAAATTTAGTTCAACACAGCTTTAATTGGTGACTGAGTCATGAAGGGAAAATAAAAAAGAATGAGCTGATGTATAAAGAAGTACTGTCACCCCCACCAGTCCCTAGCCAGTCCCCAAGAGCTGGAACCTTACCCAAGTCTTTCCTTGCTTTCTTCTGGTGTCAGCTGATCAAAGGTCTTTGCTTCTTCAGCACCCAAGAAGGCATCATGATCATAGTCAAAACTCTCGGCATCATTGTGAACCTTCTCACTGAGCTGAGGCTCATGGTGCACCCGGTCTTTCTTTTCTGTGGGCTTGCTTGAGGCAAAGGCTGTGCAGAGGGACAGGCACATAAGAAACTGTCGCAGGTCCATGATAATGGCCTAAAGGAAAAAAGAAAGGCAGTTAATTCAGGAAGCAGAGAGCTTAACAAGAAAATTTCTAAAAAGGAAATTGAAACTTATACCCAATTAACTAATTTGATATACAAAAGTCTATATTTATAATATGTCAAATATTATTTCTTAATTTATAAAATAAGTATGGCAGAACCTCAGACTTTCCAATTTTATGGCGAGTTTTCACCAGTTTCCTGCATCTGAGTGTAGAACGACAAGATTACAGTTAATTATAGTTAAAAAAAAAAATCTACCTTGGGGCTGGAGAGAGTACAGTGTGTAGGGCACTTGCCCTGCCCTTGTCAATCAATCTTTGTAGGATTTGATCCCTGGGATGCTGTTTGGCCCCATCCAAGCCCTGCCAAGAGTGATGCCTAAGCACAGAGTCAGGAGTTAAGTCCTGAACACTGTTGGACGTGTCCTTCCCTGATTCTACCTCATTCATGGGCTTCCTAAAGAAAACACCAGAGGGCCCAGAGCAACACTACAGCAGGCAGGGGGTGTGTGCTTGCCTTGCTCATGGACAACCTGGGTTCGATCTCCGGCAACCCATATGGTCCCCCAGAGCCCTGCCAGTAGTGATTCCTGAGCACAGAGCCAGGTCAGGATTAAGTCCTGAGCACCACTGCTGTGTGATGAAAGAAAGAAAGAAAGAAAGAAAGAAAGAAAGAAAGAAAGAAAGAAAGAAAGAGAGAGAAAGAGAGAAAGAGAGAAAGAGAGAAAGAGAGAAAGAGAGAAAGAGAGAAAGAGAGAAAGAGAGAAAGAGAGAAAGAGAGAAAGAGAGAAAGAGAGAAAGAAAGAAAGAAACCAGAATAGGACTTGAATTCTTTTGCCAAATACTTTATCTTTTAATCAAACAGCAGCAGTCTGGTCTTTAAATCCTACGGTTATCAGAATCACCTAGATGTTTTAACAAGTCTCATGAATAGCTAAGTGATTATTATTAGACAGGAGGCTTGGGGTTGAATTGTGTCTCACCAAGAGACATAAAGTCCTAATCCAGCTCTTACCTGTGAAGTGACCTTATTTGGAAACAGGACTTTTGCAGATATAACCAAGCTAAAATGAGGTCATATTGGATTAGCGTGGGTTCCAACCCAATGAGTAATGTCCTAATAAAAGGAGGGAAATTCGGACAAGACAGAGAACAGGATGCCATGTTATAAAAGAAACAAGAGATTGATCTATCCACAAGCACAGCAACAAAACCCAGGATTAATGACAACCACCAAAGTCTAGACAAACCCTCCCTGTTATGCCTTCAAAGAGGGTAGGGCTGGCCCTGCAGAACCCTAGATTTCAAACTTTTAGTCTCTAGAACTGTGATAGTAAGCTTATTTGGATGTTTTTGGGGGCCACACCCAGCAGTGCTTTGAGTAAGCCCTGGAGGTACACAGGATTCAAACCTAGGTTGTAGGTGCATTATTTTCCATACAGAAAGTATAGCACCTACATTTTTTCTGGCTTGTTTCTGAGTCAAACTCAGCTATGCTCAGGACTTACTCTTATCTGTACCCCAGATACTATCTGGCTCCTAAATTTCTTTTCTTTCTTTTTCTGGTGTGTTTTGGGCTGGAGCGATAGCACAGCGGGTAGGGCGTTCGCCTTACAAGCGGCCAACATGGCCGACCCGAGTTCGATTCCTCCGCCCCTCTCGGAGAGCCCGGCAAGCTACCGAGAGTATTCGATATGCCAGACACAGTAACAACAAAGTCTCCAATGGAGACGTTACTGGGCCCGCTCGAGCAAATCGATGATCAACGGGAGGGCCTTTAAAAACATAACAGAATATTTTTCTTTCAGTATTTAAAAAATGAAATCCACAAATATTTTAAAGAAATTATGTAATCTAGTTGGTGAGTTTGAGTAAAAAGCACCTCAAGTAATCGTTTTCTTGACAGGGACTTCCTGTAGTTACATTTGAGAACTGCTTCCTAAGTGTAAGCATAATCTCTCTCTCTCTCTCTCTCTCTCTATATATATATATATATATTTATGTCTGTAAGTTTACCTTATCTTAAAAAAAAAAAACTGGCCATTTGCCAACTTGCCAGGGCAATGCTAAATTTGTTTTAAGCCACTCTGTGGTAATCTGTAATAGCAGCCCTAGGCATGAGATTATCTACAGTAGAAGGATAGTGACATCAGATTAAGTAAAATAAAAGGTGTCCAAATCTACAAATTAAACCAATTAGATGCCATCCCCAGGACACCATTTGTAGAATGTATTTATTTAAAGGTTCACATTCTATTGGTTAATATTTTTAAAACACAAAATGATTCTTTCAGTGTAGCTTTTAGTTCAGTGGTTCTTAATCTATACTACTCCCTAAAATCTCTTCCCCACATGTTCTTAGACAGTATGACCATTGAAATCTACCCTAAGCTGTAATTAAATTTTTTTCCCCCTTTTGTTTTTGGGCCACACCAGCTGGCTCTGCTTATTCTTGTCTCTGTGCTCAGGGGTTACTCCTAGTGGTGGCTCAGAGACCATATGCAGTGTCAGGGAACAAACTGGAACTGATGCAAGGTGTGCAAGGCAAGCATCTTAGCCCCTGTATTTAAAGTAGCCAGTGAGAGGCCACAGTGAGAGTAGGCATCTGCCTTGCAAGTGGTAGACTGGGATTCGATCCCCAGCATTCCATATGGACCCCGAGCATTGCCAGGTATAATTCCTGAGTGCAGAGCCAGGAGTAACCCTTGAGCATCACTGGGTACAGCCCCAATCCCCACCCCTCCCACCCCCAACAAAGTAGCCAGTCAGGGGGCTGGAGCAATAGTACAGTGGGTAGGGAGGGCACTTAACTTGCACACTGCATACCTGGGTCAATCCCATATGGTTCCCCACCCCCCACCCCCCAGCACTGCCAGGAGTGATTCCTGAGTGCAGGCAGAGTCATCAGCATCTCTGGTGTGGTCCCAAAATAAAAAGCAAAGAAACAAAAAAGTCTTAAGTAGCCAGAAAAGCCCCTCACCTAACAGCATCTTGGCCTTGCAGGCCGTCCCCTCTTTCCCAGCAGCCTTACTCCACTCTAGAGCAGTTACAGAAGCAGCCGGAGGGGAATCAATCAATCAATCACGTGTGTGTGATCAGTCCCGTAAGTATGAATGGGGAATGTCACCTTGGGTCCACGTCCAAGAAACTTCTCCTCTAGCAGGCCCTATTTCCTGGGGGTTGGGGTGGAGGCACTTCTGTGAGCACTCTGGAGTGGAAATAGTTGTGGACTTTTACCCAAATGAGTGATCTTTGTTCATCTACAGGTGGCAACTATGTTTTTTCCCAGAAATTAAAAAAAAAAAAAAAGCAAGCCCTCAAAGAAAGGAAAATTCTGATCTAGGAGGTACTCTAAGACCACTTTTTAAGACCTCTGGAATGTTGAAACCAGGTTCGAGTGTAAAACAGAAACCACAGTGTTCAGACCCGGTTTAACTACTTAACAAACAGGACAAGCTGAATCCTTGCTGGGGATGAGAACAATGTGTGAGCTACCAATTTTATTTTATTTTTTATTTTATTTTATTTATTTTTCATCTTTTTGTTTAATTTGCTTCAAGGACAAAAATCAGTAGTAATAAGAATCACAAACTGAATATTTTTAAAATATAAAAGAATTAAGATTATAAAGAAAGCATTTATAGTGAAACGTAATTAGAACATTAAAAAAATTTTAATTCAGTAACAGTATATGAAGGCTGGAGTGATAGTACAGCGAGTAGGGCGTTTGTTTGTGTTGCACGTGGCCGACCCGGGTTCGATTCCTCCATCCCTCTCATAGAGCCTGGCAAGCTACCGAGAGTATCCCGCTCCCACAGCAGAGCCTGGCAAGCTCCCCGTAATGAGCTACCAATTTTAGAGACCAAGGAATTCCTTTAGCTTAAAAGTGAGAGTTCTATGTGCCACGTGCCCCTGAGCCTTTGGGAGAGACCAGCTCTGTACTAGTAATTCATTTGCACTGTTTGTGATGTGTTTCACGCTGAGAAATGGGGGTTGTTTTTGTTTATCCCCCACGCTTGTCATTTAGCTTTATGTATTGTGGTGTCTAGGCTCTATCATTTTTGTTACTAAGGAGGAAAGCCAATAGTGGCAGATAACAGTAGTTATTATAGCAATTTCAGGCTCCAGAGGATCAAGGTTTGTCTTAAGTAAACACGATAATAAGTAGATAACCTCCTTTTGTCACGTATTATGATAAGTGAACTCTGGTCTGCTAAACAATAACAAAAAAATGGATTTGTTGGATCCCAATGAAGTTGGAAGAATTCATGTTAAAGGACCCATGAAAAAAATTTGGAGTTTTAAACCTAAATTTCTTACTGGAAAAAGAGTAAATAGACAAAAAAAATACTGTGGTTAACAAAGTGGCATTTTTGTTTTGTTTGGGGGGGTAATATGCAGAGGTGCTCAGGAATAACCCATTGTGGTGCTTGGGAAACCAGGCTTGTTGGCTTGCAAGGCAAACAACTATTTCTCCAGCCCCCAATAAAATCTTTTTAAATATCTGACGTCATAGCGTACCTTAAGAGTTTTAGTAGCCACCAGAAATTTTTGAGTTTCAAAAACCATAATGGGGTCAGAGAGAGTAAATACAGGTGTTATTTGTTCTCTGACACCACATATAGTTCCTTGAGCACCACCACGGATCACTACTGAACTGAGTCATCAATTACCTCCGAGCACCATAAGTGTGGCCCAAAACTCAAACAAAACAAGAACTCAATAGATTACACATATTCCAATACATTAACTTTTCTTATAACTCTGGAATAGTAACTAGAGAAGTTTCACTGTATTAGCATGAATTTCTGTATTCCTTTAAATTCAATGAACTAAAACCTATTTAGTTTCACACTACCATAACCATGTTACCTAACAAAAAAACAAAATACAGGTACCGGGGACAGTACAGTGGGCAAGGAGAAAACGGCAGGATGTAACCCCCAGGGACCCACTGTCAAAAGAAAGTTATTCTCACTGGACAGTCAAG